ATCACGGCGATACGTGCGCGACCTGTGCCCTCGAAATGCAGCTGATCATTTACCACCTTCACCTGGTTTGTGGAGCTCCCACACCTGTTCTGACAGAGACCTGGCCGTTCTGACAGCGCGTTCTGACAGCGTTCTGATAGTGTTCTGACAACGTTCTGACAGCGTTCTGACAGCGCAAAATCCTCCCCTCTCTTCACAGCTCAGGGACCGAGCCACGGACGGACGGACTCACTCAACACACACACAGACACACGCACACAGTCTCAGTCACACACAGCACACCCTCCCAAGGCGACACTCTCACGGTGAGGCGTAGGCCCTGTTCTGACACAAACTTAGTCCCCGTTCTGACACAAACTTCTGAGCCCGCACCCACCGCCCGCGCGCGCCCAAGAGAAAAATTCGCGCGTGCGTGCGCGCGCCGCCGCCGCCCCGCGACTGACGGCAGCGCCCACGCGCGTGGCCTCCCTCGCCACAGACGCGTCCGGCGGCATCTGGAATTGCGCCTCGTGGGCGGGCTTCGACTGCACCCTCGCGGCGTCGCACTGGGGCTACACGATGGGCCAGGCGGAGGAGCTGCTCCGCGAGTGCCCCGTGACGTGCGATGTGTGCCCGGCGACGGCGCCGGCGACGACGGCGGACACGGAGACGATGGCGGCCAAGGAGGCGGCGCTCGTCGCCGCGAGCGCCGCCCACCGCGCGAGCGTCATCGCGGGCCTGCACGGCATGCACGAGAAGACGAAGGCGCGCGGCGCGCGGCTGTACCTGATGGCGAAGAACAAGGCGATGCAGCAGGCGACCAATTCATGTGGTTTTGCCAACACTTGTTGTCCGGGGCAGGATCACAGTTGTCAGCCAGCGGGAGCGTCGTGTTATTGCGACGAGCTTTGCTTGACCAACCAGGATTGTTGTCCAGACTACGTGGCGACATGTGGCGGGGAGCCGGGCTCTGGCGGGGAGCCGGGCTCTGGCGGGGAGCCGGGCTCTGGCGGGGAGCCGGGCTCTGGCGGGGAGCCGGGCTCTGGCGGGGAGCCGGGCTCTGGCGGGGAGCCGGGCTCTGGCGGGGAGCCGGGCTCCGGCGGGGAGCCGGGCTCTGGCGGGGAGCCGGGCTAGCACGCCCTATCTAGTAGACGTGCTCGTTAGCTCTGTTCCAGCCAGGTGTCCCTGACGTCTCTCTCAGAGGCCAGTGAGGTGATCCATCAAGTGGCTGTCTATCTAGTAGATCGCGAATCGTTCGCGCAGTAGTTCGCTGAGTTCTCTGTTCGCCGCTTAGGGCCGTTGAACGCGCCAGTGGGCGTTAAGCGCATTAATCGGTTCGTAGCTTGAATAGTATAGAATGGGGGTGAATGGTACGGTCTGGTTTTGCGTTCATGTGCGCGGTTTTTGTGTTGGTGCCGTTTGAGATTTTACTCTGTTCTCTGAACTCGGTCTCGAATTGGAGTGTACGCGCGACTCGCGAGGCTCGGCACTAAAGCCGTAGGCGTAGCATCCCCCCGCGGTCCCTCGCGGCCGCGTGACGCCGCACCAATGGCGCGCTGTGCCTCGTCCGCGAGCGCTATCCAGAGCTGCACCGACAGTCGCTGCAGCGCAAACGGCATCCATTCGCGCGCCGACCACGACGTCTGGTCGAGTACTGCCACCATGTGTCGCCGCCGCCGTCTCCGCCGCCCTCGCCTCCTCCGCCGTCGCCGCCGCCGTCTCCGCCGCCCTCGCCTTCTCCGCCGTCGCCGCCCCCGCCGTCGCCGCCGCCGCCGTCGCCTCCGCCGCCCTTAGTCCCGCCCACGCCCAACTTCCCGCCCAACTTCCCGCGCACCTGGTGCGATCTCGGCTTCCCCGGCCCCGGCCGCGTCTGCTGTGCCGCTTCGTGCGGCAGATGCGGCGGAATGGGTTGCTCCATGCTTGAAGGAGGAAGTTCCAAGTGCTGCCCAGGCCCTATCAAGAAGCTTGAGAGGCTGTGCGAAGACTACGAAGATACCGCGTGCATGATGCCGAATGACAGACGGGCCCTGGTCGAGGCGGATGAGCAAGCTGAGATCGACGAGGTGGAGGTGCAAGGCCACGACGACATTCTTTTCTCGACTGGGTGGGTGGGA